CAACACTTTGTCCATCTGTCAGCCTGTCCAACACTTTGTCCATCTGCCTGTCCAATGCTTTGTTTATCTGTCAGCCTGTCCAATGGTTTGTCCACCTGTCAGCCTGTCCAATGTTTTGTCCACCTGTCTGTCTGTCCATTACTCTATCCATATGAGCCTTATCATAGAATCACAAAGTACTCGATGTGTATCATAACAAAGTACATTTACTTTACCGGATCTGTAATTTTACTAAGTATTTTTTATTGTTACTTTTGTTTTTTCTGTCACAATTAAAGCATAAAAATTATACTTTGACCTCTTTACTTTAAAATTTAAGACTTTGTTACAAATTTAAATCTAACCTAACTCATGAGGAGTTGTTCATGTACTCTGAAAAAAAAAAAGAGTTAAATTTACTAAGTCAGCTGGTTCCACTAAATCGAGCTGAGTAAATGTAGCTGTTTACTCAGCTGACATAACCTGGGTAAGAAAATTCAACACTTCATTTCTGTGTGCGAAAGTCTTTTTCTGTTATGATATTTTTATTTTACTTTGTTTTTTTAAGTACTTTACACAGCACTACAGTGGTGTCATATCAGAGCAGACCCAGTAATATAGTAGTATTACAGCAGAATCAAGTAATATCAGAGTAGAATTACTGTAAGGTTAGTATAAAATTATAGTAGTACCACAGTAGTTACAATCACTGTAGAGTCCCACTTTGAGTTTAGTGTATTATAGGCTGAGCTCTGCCGCCCCCTGCTGTTCATTGTCTGTTACTGCAGCATTAAATGAGGGGAATTTCTTCTTCGTTGGTGTTTGTTTTTACATAAACCAGAGGGTTTTACACTTAGTTGGGCCACATAAATAACAAAACGTTTTAATTAATGATTTTCATCCAAACCTCGCGCTCACTTGGTTTGACTGGCGCCATTCTGACGTCACAACATTTGAAACAGATGAAAATGTGGAAAAAATTAACCACGCATCAAAGTCAATAGAACTACAGCTTCCTGTCCAATTAATGTGGCTTCATAATAAAAGCACGAATTAACTTTTTTCCCCACTTATATTTTATCTTGTAGTTTTGAATATTTGTATAACAAAGAATAAACAAAAATCTTCAGAAATATTGGAGAACATTAAGCCAAACAACAAGAAGAGGGGGAAAAACAGAACAAAAGATAAAGAAAACTAAGAAACAAAAATAAATTAACATCAGTAAAACGTTCAGGGGGGTTAACAACTTTTTATATGTTGTTGCACACATAATACATAAACTTTGGTAATATTTGATCATTTTTTTCTGATCAATAACAAATTAGAGTTCATAAGCGAGCCATGCTTTTATTGTGAAGGAGCGCGTCGGTGTCATATCGGAAGTGTGAAACATTTTCCTGTAAAGTTCAAGTTACCGGTCAGCGGAAGGTCAGCCGATAACAACAACAGGAGCTGCTGTGAGCGGAGAGCTGGTTAGTTACTGGTTAACGGCGATGTTTACTGGTAAATAAACGAGAAGCTGCTCGGTTAACCGGATCACTCTGTTCTGTTCAGGCGGACATCTGGAAGAAGCTAACAGGCTAACATTAGCATGCAGGGAACGAACATGCTGAAGAGGAGGGGCCTGGAGGAGGGGGCGGAGTCACATTGCTGCAGACCGGTGAGACACCTGCTGTGCTTGTGTGTGTGTTTTTCACGGGAGTTTAAGTCATAGTTAGCATGTTGTGTGAGTTTGATTCATGCAGTTTTTCCTTTGTGACGTATTCCACCTGTTTTATCACCTGTTTCAGCTACAAAACACTTGATTTATTTTCCTCACAGTCACATTCAGAGAAATCCCAAAGTGACGTTGCTGCTGTCTCCTAACTTTTGTTGTTGTCATTTAGCAGGTGATGCTGAGCAGCAGCAGACTGTAAACAACAGTTACGGCCCACAGCTAATGTGAAACTACTTAATTAAAAAAAGATCAACATGGTTCAAAATAAGTTTACAAGAGGATATTCTATTTATAATTTCATTTAGTTTTAGTTAAATAAAAAGTTTTTTCAATTTCAGTTTTTGTTTTTTAGTTAGTTTTAGTTAACTATAATAACCCTGGTCACTAGTTTAGAAGTACGTTTTACTCCTGATCCTTATTTCAAATGGGTAAAACTTAATCAGTAATAATCGATGTTGACTTTGAAACACTTGTATGCAGCCCTGCCCCAGTAGCTAGGCTTTGTTATTGTATAAATAATTTTTCATACAGACAGATAAAAACATGAAGTGTGCTGTGGGAGAGTCGTGTGGTATCAGTGTTTGTTTTATTACCTGATAAATCAAGGAGAACAAAACCATATATATACAGTATAAATAT